GGGGGGGGGTAATCCGATGGGTAGTAACGACATTACTTCCGTGTTGTGGGGGATGGTTGATACATCCATCTTGCTGCACCTCGTGGTGGGTGGTAACTTCGGCGGTGGGTGTACGGGCATGGAAGTGGCTGCTTGTTGCGGCATGGGCTGCGCAGGTCATGGGAGGTGGTTTGGGGTGTGGTTGGTGGTGGTTGTTCCAGCGAACGACAGTGGGTTGGGCCTCTTTTTCGGCTGGCTACGAGCCCCGGGAGGCCCGTCTTGTGCTGCTTGTGGAGTTCCCGAAGGGTTTGCAAGGTCCCATGCTCATGTTTTTAATGGAGTCGGCAGATGGTGTGGTGCGGTGAGATCGGGGATGCGATGAGTTGGACGAAAGCCTTGTGTTGTCCTTGTCGGCACCGATGACGGTGACGCCTTTGGGCGGCACTTTACCCCTTGGAGGCTTCATTGTGAAGCTTCCACATCATGTCCGCCCCGTGTGAAATCCTCAGATTTATCTTTGGATCGGAAGACGATGGCAACACGGATGTCTTTACCTGCTTGGTGGGCGTCCTCCTGGAGCCTTGATTCGCTATTGGCTGCCTGGCATCTCGGCTAGAGTGTTGTAGGTTAGTATGTAGTCCTTGTAACGTCTTTTGGTAGTAGAGGAAATGCTCTGTGGTGGCGGCCCAAGCTATGTTCTTTCGCACTCCATGTATTGTTGGTTGACCTTTTCTCAGGGGTGCTTGTGGTTCTAGTGAGGTCTCCGTGTCCATGTCCTTTAGCGGCGTTTGAGGTTCACTTTGTCGGTTATGATGGGCCATGGGTTGCCAAGTAGAAATGCAAGGGTTGTCTCTATGGAACATTCCCTTTGGCACTGTATGCGGCTCTCTTCGTCATGACATGGCCACGGAGGTAGGTTGCCCTTCGATGGGGACTAGGACTGTCCTAGTTCTTCAAGGTTCAAAGTTGTATTAGGGTAAGCTAGTGACCTTTTCTGTACGTCTTCTCTATGTTGGTTCTCCTCCGGACTGATCCAACAATAGTCGTTCCTGCTCTTGGTCTAATCTAGTTGTGATGGGTGGGATGTAGAAGCTAGTTCAAGGCTGCTTCATAGGTCTCTCTCTCTCTCTCTCTCTCTCTCTCTCTCTCTCTCTCTCTCTCCCTCTCCCTCTCTCTCTCTTGTATGTGTCAGTGCTAAGTCCTGTAGCCGTTGTGTTGTATCTGGTGTCATTATCCATCAAGTCGTGATTTAGACTAAACGTCATTCGGGTCAGTCAGCTCAATGAAACATATGATGAGTTCACATTTTCACATTTTCCGTCTTATGTATGGACTGCAATATTGTATTTTCTTGCATCTAGAGGTACTCCCTCCATTCCCTTATACAAGGCCACAAACTCAAATTACAGGTACCTAGATAAAATTTAATGACTATTTTGCAAGTCAACTTTTCTTCTTGTTATCTGGGATCATTAATACACCCGCATGCATGCAAGGAAGGAATGAGAAGGAAGTAACACAGTGACATTATGACTACATGCATGCAAGTATTAAACAAGTTGCTAGTACGAGAAAACATCATTAAATTTTGCCTCAGTTACTGTTAGTGGCCTTGTATAGATGCAAAATGTATTTTTCATAGTGTCCTTGTATAAGGAAATGGAGGGAGTATAAGACAACAAAACTTTGTTTGGACCTGAAGAGTCCGTTTGAAAGTCATTGTGCTTGTGTTTTTCTATGACATCCGGGAACAGACTTGTATTCTTTAGCTAGTCGATAAGAACTACATCACAACAACTTGGAGTGGTTGTTAGGTAGAGAAACATGCATACTGATGGCACCATTTTATATATTATGACATCAAAATATTCATGATAAATTTTGAAAACAACTAGTTAGACATGCTATATGATGAAGTATCATGGAGAAAATCAATCAAGGTACATATCTTTTTGGGTCTTTTCATGCGACTTTTCCATTTAACCCACCATTTTGATGACCTAATATGGTTCGCCCAGCGAGTCAGATCCGGCATAACTTGCCCAGAGAGGCAGACCCTGGCAAGCTTCCGAAGAAGTGCAAAAGACGTGTTGTGAGGCACCGCACCACGACACCGCACGCACTGCCATGGTTGAGAGTATACCTGGCCATACCTCGGGCCGGGCCAGGCCTAGCCAAGCCCGACGGAAAAAACCTAGGCCTGGGCCCGGCCCGGCCCGGCCATCGGGCCTACTTTCTGGGCCCGAGCCCAGCCCGAACACGTAAAAGCCCATCGGGCTTCGGGCCAGCCCGGCCCGACCTTTAGGGAAACGCAAAAATGAAAGGCTCGGGCCCAGCCCGGCCCAGCCTTCGAGCTCAAAATCTAGGCCCGAGCCCGGGTCGGGCCGGGCTTTCCATGGCCAGGTATATCTGAGAGGCAAGAGCAACCAAAGCCGACTTGCAAGTAACGAGTTGGGCTGTCCTTATTAGTCCGATGTCATAGCAGCTCATAATTATTATTTTGTATCTTGTGTGGTTTGACAAAATGGCTGGCAAGGGTGAATGAAGGAAGAGCTGTCGTGGGGAGTGGAACAAGCAACAACTTGGACCAACATAACAGAATAGATTTTTAATACAATCGCACATCCTCACACAAGTATACACAGTCATTCTTATGAACACATGCACACACAGGTAACCTCTACGAGCACCTCCAAGACACTGAACTGGCGCAACATCTTGGAATAGACAGTCATCACAGACTGCTTGTAGTCGACGGGTACGTCTTTTCTAAACTTCCAGTGAACAAATATCGCCGAAAAGTCTGAAATAAATATAGAAAAGTGTGAGCACTAGTGTCAAGTCTAGGACTTAAACCCGAATGAGCCGGTTTTGAACGGAATAATTATTAATGACATGGGACAGTTTACCTACCACAATTTTGTATGACAATACGGCACAAAAGCTTGGACCGGGCGGACTGTAGAGCAGTTGACAAATTATATTATGGAAAGAACTTCGGATGCCAACAGATAGCAATAGCGTAACGGCTCATTAGTTTAAGTCTCCATGACATGGCAAATCAAGCGATATCTGACGTAGTGCGTATGAAAGGTTGACTTGTTTTTTAATTTCATGTCCGGAAACAACCACACATTCTTTAGCTCGTCGATGAAGAACTTTGAGTGGTCGTTTGATGAGAAACTGACATCATATATCAGGCCATCTCTAGTCTATCCCCTAAATTTTAGAATAATAAATGGCCGATTATTCTTTATTTTAACTTCTCTAAATTTTGATCATTTCTAGCCGATCCCCTAAATTTAGCGGAGTTTACAATTGGCTCATGCATTTCGTCGAACATTTAGTATGCGTCTCTGCGGTGAGCAACAACGATCGTGACAACGCCGGTGCTGCTGCGGCCAATTCCACTCCTCCTACTCCAAGTCCTTCGTGCAGTGTTAACCTTCGGCTCTGTTGCATATGCGCCCTCACCACCCACACGCATGCTCCGGCGGCGACAAGACGGAGAAGGCGGAGCTGTGGCGCGTGAAGCTGCGGTTGGTGGTCCCCGAGGAGTGCGTGGTGGTGCGGTACATCCGGACAGGGGCGCCAGGGGCGCTTTCACAGCGCGTGGTGGCAGTGTTCGTGCTGATGACCATCGCCGACATCAGGGATCAGTGCAAGGACTACCAGCGCAAGCTATTCCGCAGCTATAGACGGGCGCCTAGAGCAACAACTGGGCCGCGCTTTGGCCCAAGTCCGGCAAGCAGGAGGTGTGG